GTCGTCAATAGATCGTTTGCCCAGGATGTCACGGAAAGCGCGCAAGTCTCCACCTCCAAGCCGACTCAACGACGTCTGTAGGTTGCTAGTGCAACGAGCATCAGTCGTTTCATTTGCGTTGGATTGATGCCCGGTCAAGGTCCTCGGGGATTTTGCCTTGGTAGTGCTGGCGGAACGGCTCCTGCTCGGTTTTCGGAGTCCTACAGAGCGGAGAGTGTGCGTACGAACCACTTTAATGGAAGATGTGTTGGCTAGCGTGGAAGGAGCAAATGCTTCCCAGCCATCCACATCTACACGCACGTCGAAGCTTGGTTGTATCTCACCGTGGTTAGCAACCCATTCTCCATTTTTCTGCCAACTCCATACACCTTTTTCCAAGCATCAAGATGTCCCCCTCGTCGTCTCAGTTCAAAATGCGATTTCTATAGTCTGGAGAACGGTAGCCGGCTCAAGCTCATTCGAAAGTTCAGTGCCGATGACAATCGGGAATGCGTCCACTGACTACGCGCGGAAACGAACGGTTCTCGAGCTACGATCTGTCAAGATGAACCTAAGCTTCTAAGATATTGGATCCCCGCCAAGAAAGGCGTAAAACAAAACCCATCACAATATATTCAGAACTGAATGCACGCTCACAGACTCTCTTACCAAAGCGCTTGTGCCCCTCTTCACGACAGCATACCGACTTCCCTTCGTCGTGTCACGGGTCACAACAGCCTTGGATGGCGCGGTGGCGACACTCAGCGCTCCCGCAACGACACACAAACCACAGGTCATCACCGTAGTCAGCGGTGATCTCCTGTCCGCGACGGATCCGTTTTGTGGTGACGACCACAACCGTTGTGCGACGGCCATTCCCCACCTCCACGACTTTGGCGACGGGGTCAAAAGAGTGATTAGCGAACCGCATGAGACCGCCCATCCGCTCGGCATTGATAGCCATGCGAACGGAGTGCTCTGGTCGCTCAGGCCGTAAACGGATCTCCGTGGGCGGCTGTTTCTGTTCATGCTCAGGTGCTCAAACTCGCCGCGGTACTGTCCGAGAACCTCGCCAGCCTCGATGTCCGCAAACTGCGCGCCAAACGTACCTTCTTGGACTCATGAAGACCGTTGCCGCACATACCCTCGTACGTGCAACAGTTGATGCTGCAGATCACGTTCATAAGGGCATTGCGGCAAGAGTCCGCGTGACACGGGTCAATGCATTCACAAATCTGAAGTTGGGCACCACGGGGAAGACCGTAGCTAGCGGGTTGAATTGTTCCCGGAGATGCGCGACTTGGTGGAGCCAGCGTGCCAACACAAAGGTGTCGTTGGAACGAGTCGAGCGCAGCCTTGGTCGACCGGTCTCCGCATTTCCAGGAAGAATGAAACCACGAGGGTTGGTAGCCGGCCGACTATCTGGACCGCCGACAGTACGGGTCCGTGCGTATGGAACGGCGGCTTCACGACGTACTCGACGGCGCTCTGTGCCTTCCGTACGAGCGGTCGTCAGCGGTGGCGGCCGCGGTGTTGTATTGTTCAGCAGCACGGAGGAAGAAGCGGTGTGACTTGCCACCAGTCGAGATCGCCGCAGCGGGGAATCCTCCGTTTCCGTCGAAGACTGCGATGCTGGCGGTTGATTCGAGACGGCCTTCAAGTATCCAAACTTCGTGAAGCCCGGCGACATCCACGGAGGTGTGGCAGTCCCAGTAGAGCTTGAGTCGTCGCTACTCTTGTCCCCACAGCTCTTTTTGCTGGTGATCTTGTCCTGAGTCGTGTTCTCACGCAACATTTTGGGCGGCGTGTTTTCGTCTTCGCTGGCAGACGAGTCCTGAATACAGCGGAGCTTCCAATGAAGCGCCAAGTGAACCATAGCTGCTAGGATAATATAATTTGTTAAATACACACATGAAAACTGCTTTAAATTTTGTACTTGACCCACCTGTCGCCTTTAGAGGAAGAATCAAGAAGAGTGTTGCCTCCCGACGTTGCAGAAAATATATATGTCACTACAGAGTGACGGTCGTTGCAGAGGAGTGATGGTGAGATTAAAAAAAACTTTACAAATTTGTAGCGTTTAAGATGGGTACCAGACAAATGAGTGAGTCAACGGAGTTCTTATTGAGACGATTTTTACGTCTCA